CTACTACAAGCAGCTGCATGCAGCCCGGGGTGGGGAGAGAGAGGTGGAATGGACCTGACCAGCTTACTTAGCCAGTCCGTGGATTCTTCCCAAGAACTCCTCAGGCAGCAGCGTAGAGGACAGCGTGGTGGTGGTGGTGAAGGAGGAGGAGAATGGTAAGCAGGCAAGTGGGACAACTGATATGACCCAGAGTCAGGAACTTTTTTTTAACCTTGGAGCCAATCCCCTCCTCCCAGGATGTCCCACAGTGGGCACTGCTCTTAAGACAGGCACTTCTAATGAGTTCACTTTTTTTTTCTTGCTACAAGTGGGTTAAAGCAATTGTGCCTACACAGCGGGGGTCCCTGGAACACCTTGTTAATGAGTCTGGAAATGGAGCAGGAATCCTCCCTGTACTTCTCCATAAAGCTCTCATAGAGGAACACTTTCATCATCCTTCTCACACAGTTTCTGGGTAGGGATGCCTTATTCCGTGATCCATGGCAGGACACCTTTCCATGCTAAACTAGCAGTAAGTGAACTAGCATCATTGCAGCGCAAAGCATTTCAGCATAAGGTCCAGATTTCTGGTCACATTCAATCAGCATCTGCTCCCTATCGCGCTGTGTGATTAGGAGATCACTGATAACTTACATAGCAACTTGGATGAAGCAGGGGAAGATGTTAGCTGATACCTCTGCAGTAAACCTCCATTTGTTCATCTCCAGTGAGGCATGGCTTGAGCCCCTGCCCTGCGGCCACGCCTGGACCTCCTCTTCCCTCCTGCCTGCTCCTGTGGGAAGGGAAATTTGCAGTCTCCTGACAAACGGATGCTGAACACACAGGCTGCTTGATCCCTTACCCTGCTGCAATGTCTGGACCCCCTCTTTTCCACAGGCTCAAGCCTCAGCCTGTTCCTTAGCATGCCGGCCACCAAACCAAATCCAGCTGTTCCCCTAAGAACTCTGTAGTGTACCTTCTGCATAGTGGATGGTTAAAAGCATAACTGTTGCCTGGTACATAGCACATCCCTATTATCTTTAAAAAGGCCTTCCTGTTTGTTCTAACGGACTAGATTCTACAGTGTGTCTCTTGAAAAGTCTTCCCTTTACTTTTTGTTACAGCAAGAACACAATGAGCTTACTGCACACTTCCCTGGCCCTGCCAGCTGTTCGACAGGCACAAATCCACAGGCAAAAATGGACTAATGATGTGACCTATTCAAGGAGCAAATGTAACCCAGCCACCTGAACAGGGAGCGCTTACGCGAGTGGAGAAATATGCTGCAGAGCCTGAAGACAGGAAAGAATGCAGGAAACTGGAAGTGAAGAACCAAGAGAGAGCCTTGTTGTCCATGGCAGATGTGATGGGCCTCATGGCGGCTTTCCAGGACACCTATATGCACAGGCACTTCATCTCTTGTAGACCAGCATTCCCTCCTCACCGTGTTCCATAGTGTCCTCTCCCAGGGATCCTATAACACGGGGGAGGAGGAATCTAGGGTTGCCTCACACTCAGTGCTCGAGGTTGCATTGCAAAGCAAAAGGCTGTCATCACAATTGTAATCAAATTCTCCCCTCCCCCCCCCAAAAAAAAGTTCTTGCCCTGGACTGTCCCTTCTGTCTTTCCTAAATAAAAACGCATGATTTCTGAATAAGTCCCTTTATTGCTTGTGTTGAATGGGGGAGGGGTTACAGGCAAGCACACTGTAGCAACATGGATGACTCTCAAAACTCGTTCATAAAACTGTCCTTCAAAGCCTCTCTGAATTGCAAGCCCCTCGCTGAGCTTTCCTTATTGCCATAGTGTCTGGCTGCTCAATATCCCTGATTAGGTGCTGTGCCTCCGTCCCCCTTCCCTTACTCTCACAACTATTATAGAGCACACAGCAGGCTGCCACCACAATGGGAATGTTTCGTTCACTGAGGTCTAACCTAGTCGGTACATGGCAAAATCTTCTCTTTAAGTGGCCCAAAGCACATTCTACCACCATTTTGCACTTGCTCAGCCTGTAGTTGAATTGTTCCTTACTTCAGTTCAGACTGCCCGTGTACAGCTTTGAGCCACGTGAGCAAGAGGTAGATTGAATTTCCAGTCTAGGGGAAAAAGTTCCAGTTTGCGGCTTGCCGAAGAAGCAGGAGTTCCTAAAGATATGCACGTCATGTACTTTTCCTGACCATGCCATGTTGATGTCTGTGAATTAGCCCATGTGTTTCACCAGCCCCTGCAGTACCATGAAGAAGTACCCCAGGCACTTTGCGTACTCTTTGGCAAGGTGGTTGGATGTCAAGATGCGGATTCGTGTTCCATCTATCGCCCCATCACAGTTAAGGAACTCCAGTGCAGCAAAGTCCTCCAAAAAGTCCTCCATGTTTCCCAGAGTCACTACCTTCCACGGCAGAAGGGTATTGATTGCCTTGGCTACTTGGATCACAACAGCCCCCACTGTAGATTTTCCCACTCCAAATTGATTCCCAACTGACTGGTAGCTATCTGGCATTGCAAGTTTCTCCAGGGCAATTCCCACACATTTCTCTACTATAAGAGCAGGTCTCATTCTGGTATTCTTGTGCTTCAGGGCAAGGTAAACAACTCACAAATTTCCATAAAAGTGGCCATACACATACGAAAGTTTTGCAGCCACTACTGACCATCTCATACCTGCATAACAGTGTGATTCCGCCAGTCTGTGCTTGTCTGACTGAGCCAGAACCGGCATTCCACTGTGTCCAGAGAATCGAATGCTGGTGGCATTTGCCAGTCACTCAACTCAAGTGTTTTGCAGAAGAATATGTTTCATGGCCTCCCAAGACTCGTGTATGTTCTGGCAGACTCTGGATATGCTCTGGTGATACTCCAGGATTAGGCTCACCATGATTAATATTATTATCATAATGCTTTGACGCTCAATGGGAGCCATGATAGGTTCCATGCTTGTGCTGATATGGCATCTGTGCAGATAACCAACGGGGAAAAGCCACAGAAAGACTGCCATTGCTCTCAAGCAGGGGAGGGAGGGAGGCAATGAATGCATTATGGGCCACTGACGACATGTACCCAGAACCACCCGCTGCACAGTTTTGTTCCCAGTGTGCACCGGGAGCATAACCCAGAATGCAAAGGGGCACCGGCACTGTGCAATAGTTACCAACAGTGCATCATTCTCAGAATTGATGTGGGGACTCGCTACTCCGAAATACGTTGACTTCTTGCTCACAGTGGGGATATGCACCTTCCACTTTACAAAATCAGGTGCTAAAAATCAACCTTAATAAATTTGACTTTCTCAGTGTAGAAATGTCCAGAGATTGCTGACCAGTTTTGTTAAGTGTGGTAACTACAAATTTCATGAACCTTAATTTTTGTGTAAAAGTGTCTGATGAAGGAAGGGTAATCAGTACGTCTGTTTTGCTTGATTTAGTGTTTACTTTTACTTACTAGCATTGTTGTATTTGAGAGCTCAGTCATGTAATACAAGGAACCTGTGGCACTATCCATGTTGTACACTCAGTAAACGTACTTATGATGTTTATATGATGAAATCCAGCAATTATGGTTATGCTGCGGGCCAGTGTCTGTTACACTAGTGCAGTGCCAAAGCAAATTGCATTGGTATAAGTGAGAGCAGAATTTGGCCTTAAGTCTTTTGCTGGGCTGCATACTGCTACCTATGCCTTGTTCGATATTTCCATTTTTAGATCACTTAAAGCTTTGTAAGGTACTGTGGCTCTCCAGCAGTTAGAAATTGACCAGAATGATTAGAAAAGCTGAAAAGATTGAGTCAGTTTGCATCTGCTTTTTGAATATTACAAAGCTAGAACTCTCAAAATGAATTCTCCATCATTTAGTCATGGTACAACGATGACTGACTATACTTGGGTATTGCTGGCCACCAAAAGAAAGCATATATGTCTAGGCTGGGTGATTTAACCAACTAAATGTTGTTTTTTTCATCCAACAAGACCTAAATTCTTAGCTTTTGAATAGTGAATTTGGTTACCTTAATTTGATGTTTAATGCAGAAAAGCAGACTTTACAGACTGATACATGTACTTGTACTGGAGCTAGTCAAGAAATGGAATTCACTTCTATCTGTATAGGCTGTGGACCCTTCAGGTGAGAACCAAGGCCTTTGATATCTGGAGATATTCAGAGCAACTGTGAAAATCATAGCTGCTTTGATGAAATCACATGTGACAATTTCATTTCTCCTCACATAACAACCAAACAATTGACAGGGGAGGGATCACAAGAAGATTACCTGTTGTGATCCCTCCCTCTGTGGCATCTGGTATTGGCCACTGTCAGCAGACAGAATACTGGGCTAGATGGCTCTTTGGTCTGACCCAGTATGTCCGTTCTTATGTAACATTAAAAAATAGCACTATGGACCAAAGACATTCATATTGCTGTACAGAATGTCTCAAATGTTGAACACTGTATTGAACATAGATATCTTGTGTAATAACGTGTAATTTACATTTTAGATATTTTCTCCAAAGGGGGTAAAAAAACCTATATTAATGTGCAGTTTTTGATGAATTTTCTTCCCATAGATCTTCACAGATTTAGCTGCTGCTTCTTAATTGTAAAGACTTGAGACTCAGCACAGGTGTGCTTGTGTGTGTGTACACCCACCTTCTCTTTATATATAATACTTCAGTTGTAAATTGTAACTATTTGAGGTAATTTACTAGCAATCTAAAGTAGCCAGGTACAGTAAAGTCGACCTCAGAAAAGTTCCAAGAGTAGTACACACTCTGTGGATTGTTTGAATTACACAAACATCAGATACATGTGTTATGGGTAGGTTGGATGTATAGTACACAAACAATATGTAAATGCAGAGAAACCAGAGTGTGGAATAATTCCTGTTTCCTGTGTAGCAGGTTGATCAGGCATGAATCTGATTAATTTATTTCATGAATAAGAATCTAAAAATGAAAGAGGGGCCACTTAATGTTGATTTAAAGTTGGATTTCTTTTTCATTCACATATGTTTAACTATTGTGTTGTTGCAGAAACTGGAACATAGAGAAGTTTTAGTGGGCTTATTGTTCCTGGTTTTCCCATTTATCCCAGCCAGCAACCTCTTCTTCAGGGTGGGGTTTGTGGTGGCAGAGCGAATCCTTTACATGCCAAGGTAATTATTGCAATTGAATTCCTTTATAACAAAACCCTCTCCTCTATTTTGTGAAGGCAGCTTTTTTTTGTTTTGTGTTTGTGTTTTTGGTTTTTGCCTATTGCTGTGATTCAGACATTTTTATTTTATTTTATTTAGTCCAAGCACTATATGCCTTTGAATTTTTAAGCAGCAGTACCAGGAAAACTATAGCTTGTCAAGAGCAGGATATTTGGCAGAATCAAAGCTGATTTTTTCCCCCTTGTTATGAGTTTTTCTGCATTATGGTTGAAAGTATCTGTATAAAGGAAAATAGTATGTTGTGCCACGTACATTGTCCTTTTGTGTTCCTATGGACCTTGCTGTTTTCCTAAGCAATATTGTCATCTTAAATTGTCCATGTTCTCTAATTTAAGCACAGTATTTATAGAGTTAACCCCATTATTATTATTACTATTTATCTATTACTAATAGCCATTGTATTCCGTACAATTCCAAAGGAAGACAAGGTCCATCCCTATAAACGTTGACAATGTAAGCCTTTAATTCTTTAGGTGGACTCCTTCAGCCGCACAGTCCCTCTGCCAATGCATTGTATGATCCAGATCTATGAAAGAGATGGCAATCTTGTTGGTGGGGGTGGGGAAAGGCTCACACACCTTCCTCAAGTGTAACTCTTTAACTGTGAGTGCTCCAGTTTTCACCTGTTTACATTCTCTAGACTGACTAGCTGCTAAGGTGTCTGGTGCTTCTTGTGCTCTTACAAGCACCATAAGTTTGAACTGTTCCTTGTATCTCCATTCTATCTGGAGCTGAAGCAGTAGGAAAGACCAACCATCCAAGACGCAACTGGGGTTTACCTGCTTGATCCAGCCATAAATATAATCATAGAATCATAGGACTGGAAGGGACCTCGAGAGGTCATCGAGTCCAGCCCCCCGCCCTCAAGGCAGGACCAAGCTCCATCTACACCATCCCTGACAGATGTCTATCTAACCTGTTCTTAAATATCTCCAGAGAGGGAGATTCTATTAATCATGTTAATAGAATTGTAGCCAGAAGTTTACAGTCTAAGATCTCAGTTCTGCTGTTAAGTGCATACTCATCTCTCATTATCTTTCATGGGGCTTGAACTTGTAGAGCTGGTGGCTCTAAGCTTCACTCCAGGTTGCTTTATGCTGTCTTAAAACAGCTGCTTTATTTCTCCCACTTTTAAAAACTAGATTTCTGAAAAAGTGCATGAAAATGGAAAACCTGGAAAATAGGCTCTTTTGTCCTGATTCTGCCAAGCCTCATATTCTTACTCAATTTTATACCTGTAAGTAGTCCCATGGACTTCAGTAGGCCTACTCTCTGGTCTTTGCTTTACATAGCTATTGTTTTACATAGCTGATGTATCCCTGCTGCCTATTACATCAATTTGTTTTATTGGCCAAATCCTGCTTGTCTTATTGGCGCATGTAACTAACTCCCTTGAGTTTGAGACTGTTAATGTGAGTAAGGTGTGTGAGATTTTGCCCCCTGAGATATTCTGGGAGTCATCCCCACAACTAGTGAATCTCATTACTTCCCATTTTAAATTAATTTCAAAATTAAATTGATTGAATCTATACATAAAAAGAGGAGAAACATCTCAAAGCCATTAAAATAAGAACTGTGAAACAACCAGCCCAGCTTGTAACACACTACCACACTTCTTCTTTGGCTTTTCTGGCCATGGAAATAGCAAGGGTGTGGAGTGCTGCAGATGCCAGCTAAATCAGCTAGCTCTTCTCCAAAGGAGATTACCGACAGTACCAGGTATATTTTGAAGATGGTAGTAATGACAGAGAAAAATGGTCAAGATTCCAGGAGGACTATTAATATATTTACTGTGTGCGCACAGGAATGCTGCTTAGATAATGATTTCATGCTTCTAGGGGATTTGCAAACATACAACCTATCAAGTAGGTAATTAAAGTCTCCCCTTTTTTAAGAGGAGATACTGAGGCAGAGAGGCTAAGTGGGAAACACTAAGGCTATGTTTACACTATACAGTTATTTCGGAATAAGCTATTCCGTAATAGTTATTCTGAAATAGCTTATTTCGAAATAGCATGTCTGCACTTGCAGGGAAGCCTCAAATTTAATCAGAGGCAGGCTTACCTAATGTAGACGTGCTCTATCGATTTAGAGCCCCAGGAGGAATAACTTAGAATGGCCCTAGTGAGGGGCTATTTTGAAATAGCAGCAGTGGAGCATCTACACACACCTTATTTTGAAATAGCTATTTCAGAATAGATGTTATTCTTCATAGAATGAGGTTTACAGAAATTGGAATAAGCCATTCATTATTTCAAAATTATTTTGAAATAAAGGGATTGCTGTGTAGATGCTTGCATAGTTATTTAAGAATAATGGCTGTTATTCTGAAAAAACTTTGCTGTGTAGACACACCCTAAGAGTGAGTCTGTCAGAGTCGCTGGGTCCTTCCTGTTTTCAGATCACTAGACCATTCATTTCCTGATTTAAAACCTTTTTCACCCCTAGTTGGCAGGCAACTGAACTGAAATGTAAAATGAAAAACTAACATAGAAGCTGATTCGCATATCAGTTAAAGAGTGGACATCTCTCACTCTATCATCAGGCTTTTGTAGGACAAGGAAGAATGCTAAAAAATATATGGATAAGAGGGTTGAGAATTAAATTTAATATCTGCAAAGTTATTGAAAATGAGTGGGCACTGTTTCCATATCTTTGTGTGGATCAGATAGGAGTGTTAGTCTTCACAAACACTCATAGCTGTTGCAAAATAAAACTGTCATCGCTTGATTTCCCCCAGAAGAACTTGGGATATAATATTGAGTATATAAGAGAAAGAGGAGCAGTGTTCTTTATATGGAACATTCCTTAGAAACTGTTTCATAGCTTGTATCTTGCCAAATGGAATGTGCTTTTATTGAGTTTTCTTCTATTTTTGCTCTAACTTTGTTACTAACTTGGAATATTTCACCCCACTTGAAAGGTGAGAAAACTGACTCAGAGTGTGGAAAACACATTGAACATTGACAACTGTATTATTCTTGGTATTTTTAAAGATGCTCTTCCTCTCCCTTTTAAAATGAAAGCCTTATATAAATATTTGTGCATATGACAGTTGTGCACATTGCAATCTATGGATCACATCCTGAGCTCCTTACTCAGATTTATTCAGTCCTTACATGGGCAAAATTTTAAGTGTAGTGGATAAAGACCTGGGGATTTAGGTAAAAGGTATAAACAAACCATGTTTTAGGTTTTTTACCACCACTTTAATTAAACTTGACTTAGAAAAATAGTAAGTACCCAACCTGTTGATCACGTACTAGTCGTAGGGCTTGATCCTGCCTTTCAGGACTTTGTGCATATCTTGAAAAAATCCAAAATGTTTTTGTTGGAAAATTTTCACAGGATAAAAATAATTTCCCAACCAGTTCTGAGCATGAGTGGTGAATGGGGTAGAATATAATTCATAAGTCAGGATATAATTTATAGGCCAGATTTTCAAAGCAGCTCAGCTCCCAGTTAGGCACCAAAATAAATGGTCAGGTTCTCAAAAGATTCAGGACATTGAACCTGTTTTGGAAATCTGGCCCTACCTGCAAGTGCTGGCCATTTGGAAAAATCTGGTCAGTGCAAACCACTTTTATTGTGTTTAAAATGAAAAGACCAGTTAATCTTGCTGTTCATAGTCATGAAGAACCTATCTGAACATAACCTGGAGCTTTAGCACTTGACTGCAGTTGTTCCTCAGTGGAACAGTTGAACATACATGGTGAAACATTGAGCACCTCTGATGCACCTCTTATGCAGTACTAAACACTCTGACTTCCCATTGACTGGAATGGGAGGTTGGGGGTTCTTTGGCTTCGCAGAAATGGACTCTTTGTAGAAGCAATTTCTCTAGTTTGCTCAACTTTTTGCACAACTCCCATTTCAGTGGCTTGTGGCTGATGGTTTGTTTTATTTACAAATGTGTTTGTTTTCTATTAGCTTTCAGAGTTTGAGGACTGCCCTCTAAAAATAACCAATTGCCAACCTGCTAAGTGCGTGCACGGTTTCCAGATCAAGTGCCTGTGTGCTACATATTACAATATTTAAACTCCAGATGCAATCAGTTACTCTTCCAGGCTACAATAGTTTATGTCACTGCTTATTTTTTACTAGCCACAAGAACCTTCAACAGGCCATGGATTGTGCAACTGTGACTGACAAAAATAAAGATGAAATTAATATGTTGAAAGTTGCCTGCACAATAAGGAGTGGAGGCAGGTGTGCAGTAGTCCTGCGAGCAAGTATTGATTACATCACTCATTTAGTACATTCCCAGGCAACCTTTGATGGTGGAGTCCTATGCATTGGGATGCCGGGTAGCTCATGATGAAAATAAAAGCTGCTCTCCAATGGTTGAACCTAGCAGGACAGTAGCAGAACTACTTCCTTCTGACTTCCACTACCCATCCCTCCCTCCATGGCAACTACCAGCTTTGGCCCAGCAGGGGGAATAAAGTGTATCCCTTTACTCCTGCAGCAGTGAACCAAAACATAAATATGATGCCATCTGTTATAGATCATCGTTCACCACCTTGCAGAATTCATGTGCATCCTTTTAGCCATGTTTTGTTTAGTAAGTGAGAAGTACATGCTCCAATAATAAGAGTGTAGCAGTAGGGATAGATTATTGACCACCTGATCAGGACAGTGATAGTGACTGAGAAATGCAAAGGGAAATTAGAGAGGCTATCAAAATAAAAAACTCAGTAATAGTGGGGAATTTCAACTACCCCCATATTAACTGGGTACATGTCACCTCAGGACGGGTTGCAGAGATAAAATGTCTTGATACCTTAAATGAGTGCTTCTTGGAGCAACTGGTTCTGGAACCCACAAGAGGAGAGGCTATTCTTGACTTAGTCCTCAGTGGAGCGCAGGATCTGGTCCAAGAGGTAAATATAACAGGGCGTCTTGGAAATAGTGAACATAATGTAATAAAATGTAACATC